ATGAATACCTGATAAGGAGGGAAAGATTTTTCCTGTAAAGCAAAAGAAACCCAAATGCCACCCAAAAAAGCTGAAGGAACAGGAAGACACTGGCAGCAATTGCAGTATCTCCCTGTCTTCATTCACCAGAGCCTCAACAGGAAAACTTGAGGTAAGAAACAAAGGAATATTGAAAGGCTGGAGTCTGAGAGTGGCAAAATCCATGGGGAGAAACTTGAATTTCTCTCATGGATTGTCACTGGAATTCCAGACATTTCTGGCAATTCTTCAGTTTATTTCTTAGTCTTGTAAGATTTTCAGAAGAGCAGTGTTGAGCTTTGGTGTTTGCAGTGACTCCAGGAGAGCTTGTGCTCCCTGCATCCCTCTGGGGCTGTTCCACGCTCTGCTGCTTTGTTTCCAGGTGGGATGGAGGTCACAGCTTGGGCTGGTGGAGCACAGGTAAAACCAGAGAGCGCAGGGGGAGCCGGGTCCGTGGTGCCAGTGCTGGCAGAGGGCACACAGGGACATTCCTGGATAATGGGAGTGGTTCCTGTGCTCCCCGTGGTTGAGGCAAACTGAAGGCAGGGGGGGACTCTGGGCTGCACAAAACAGTAGCAGGATGTTCTTCACTTTCTCCCCTGTTCCTTGTTTCTCCAAAGAGGACATGGAAAACCAGATTTCCATGGAAAACCAGGTGTTCTGTGGCCTGTGTAAGACTACTCAAGAGTTTGTTCCTCCTGGCGGGTTCAGAGTCTTCCTGGAGCCTTTGGGAAGAATGTGATGAGTGGAATGGAGGGAAAAGTGGAGGGTTGAGAGCTGGGTGGAGTTTGCAGGTGTCCCCTCTGATCCCTGTTCCTGACACAGGGATCAGTGGGAACGGGGAAGGTCATCGTGCCTGTGTTGTTTGCAGGGCTCGTTGCTGTGGGAGAGAAGGCCCAGAAGAGGTCTGGCCATTACGTGGTGATGAAGGATCTTTCAGGTGAGACTCTTTTCTGGAATAATGCAATTCCCAGTGGCTGCCTGGATGCTAACCCTGGAATGTCTGTGTGCCAGGGAAGCACCCGGTGTCTGCGCTGATGGAGATCTGCAACAAGAGGAGGTGGACGCCCCCCGAGTTCGTGCTGGTGGATGACAGTGGGCCTGATCACCGCAAACATTTCATCTTCAAGGTGGGTTTCGGCTTCCCCTGTGCTGCTTCACCTATGCCAGGGATGAAATCCATGTTTCTGTTTGATAGAAACACCTCACGGGGCTGGCTGAGGATGGTGGAGCCGTCTCGGTGCTGGAATGTGCAAGTCCTGTTCCTGGAGAGGCCAAATCGGGTCCCTGGAGCACTTTAATCTGGAAACCAGGGAGACTTGATCCCAGGGCTGGAGCCGGGCTGGGACAGCTGGGGGTGCTCCCCTGGAGAGGAGAAGCTCCAGGGAGAGCTCAGAGCTCCTTGCAGAGCCTGAAGGGGCTCCAACAAAGCTGGAGAGGGACTGTGGACAAGGCCTGGAGGGCCAGGAGCCAGGGAATGGCTGCCAGTGGCAGAGGGCAGAGCTGGATGGGATCTTGGGCAGGAATTGTTCCCTGGCAGGGTGGGCAGGGGCTGGGATGGAATTGCCAGAGCAGCTGGGGCTGCCCCTGGATCCCTGGCAGTGCCCAAGGCCAGGCTGGACACTGGGGCTGGGAGCAGCTGGGACAGCGGGCGGTGTCCCTGCCCCGGCAGGGCTGGGCTGGGATGAGCTTTAAGGTCCCTCCCAACCCAAAGCATTAAATGGCTGTGCTGCCATGGGCTCAGAGTGTCCCTGGAATTCCCCAGAGTGTGCCTGGCTGACCCCTGCTTCCCCCGTGCCAGGTGAGAGTCAATGGCAACGAGTACAGGCCCACCTTTGCCAGCCTTAACAAGAAGCACGCGAAAGCCACGGCGGCCACGGCGGCGCTGCAGGCCATGGGACTCGTACCAAAGGAAAGCATGGTCAATACCACCATGTTCAGGAGTGCCTCACACCGCTAAGCTTGGCTTTGCTGGGACACTGGTTCTGAGCGTTTTACTCTGCACAAGAAATGGTATTTGCCCCTCTCATGTTGTAAATACATCGGCGATTCCCACCTTGTAAAAACTGTACAGACACCCACAGGTTTTTCTTTTGTACCATCCAAATGTATTTAAATCATACTTAGTTTTTGGTATGTTTATATTGTTTACATTAGTGATGTAATTATTTCTTAAACAACTAAAATCAGACGACAGACTCTGGAGGCATCAGAAATCCAGACCCTTGGCTGAAGCTCCTGCAGTTCCTCTCCTGCCGGAACGTTGACCCTTTGATACAGTTTTGTAGTGGCTGCAGAGTTCCCCGGGCTCGGGGAGGTGCTCGGGGGGCCGTGCCCGGGCTCTGCCCCTCGGTGCCCCCCGCGCCCGGGGACGCGAAGACTCGGACACGCCGTGGCTCCTGCAGGGCCCCAGCAGGGAGGAGCCTGGGGCTGCTCTTCCCGACCAGTGAATCCACTGCCTGATGCTGATCGTTCGGATTTGTGGTTCATGTGAATTTTAAACTCTTAACAAAATCTACAACTGGATTTGGGGGGAGGGAAGGGGGTAGAATGACGCTTCAATTGTTGTACCCAACTTGGTCAATAAAGCAGCACAAGTTCATAATCTTCACCCCTGGTCAGTAAACAGTAATTCCAGTGGATGCCAAGCCAGGAAACGGGAATTTAAATACGCCAAAATGCTTTCTGCAAGAAACACACACGATACAGAAGTGGCTTTGTGAGGATTCTCAGCAGCCATTGGGATGGCAGGAGCAGTCTGGTTATTTTTGGTTGCTTTGAACTCTTACAGAATAAATCCTTGGGATGAAATGTTTCTTAAGGATCCTCAGCCCTCAAGGAGCCTGATCCAGATTTTGGGCAGTTGGACAGCAGAGAAGATGTAGAAAGCTTTTCCTGCTTTTTATTTTTTATTTAAGAAGCATTATTCTTTGATCTGTGTGCACGTGGGATTGCCAGGGGCAGGGCACCCTCCCTGACGGATCGGAGTTGGGAGCAGGCTGCCAGGATTTCTGCGCTTGGGTCGTTCAGGTGCTTGTCCCAGACAAGTCTTTGTGAGGTGAGAGAACCTGAGCTGGGTCTGGGGAAAGAACAAACCCAGCCAGGCTGCTCTGGCCTCACGGGAGGGACCCTTTGGCCATATGGGGCCATGGAGCTGAGGAATTCCCGGTACCTGGAGCCGTGTGGATCCCGTCAGTGTCACGGAACACGGAGTCTCCTTGCTCTGCAGGGACAAGGGTTGGTGTTCCCTGTGCAGCAGAGAATTGGGGTTGGTTTCGAGACAGAAAAGCCCCTCTGAGTCTGTCCAAGCGCTCTGGAAATGCTTCAGTTGATCTTCATTTCATGGACGTTGTTGTCTTGAATTAAACTTTTTTCCCTTTGGCATCTCGCCTTCGGTCTCTGACTAAACGTGTGGAGCTTGTCCTGCGAACTGCCTGGGAGGTGTGAAGTTTCCAGATGTGGGAGGAAGCACCCTGGGAGTGCTGGGGGGTGTCCGGCCCCAGCCCAGGGCCTGGAGCAGCTCCTGACCAGGTTTGGCTGAGCTCAAACCTTGGAGCTGCTGAGGATTCCCTTCAGTCCGTGCTCTCCGTGGCAGCTCAGAATTCACAGCTGGACACAAATCTGGGAATGTACAATCCCTCTGTCCTTGTTGTGTTCCTTTTTCTGTGTCCCTGTTTCCCACGTTAAAGAGCTGAGATCTCCCCAGCAGCAGAGTCCCACTAAAGACTCCATGTAAAAAATAACCATTAGGGAAAGGTCTGGATTTCATGGCTTAGAGGTGGGGGTCCTGTGTGTTCCTTGGAGCCGCATATCCCTCAGGAACAGCCCTGCATCCCGGAGCTGGGAGCAGCTGGGGTTTGCTCCTGGGGCTGACAGCTCACAGCAGTTCTGTAAAGCCATGATTAATCACCAAGAATTCCAGCAGAACTGCATCCCTGCAGGATCCCTGGGGCAGGGCACTGCCCCTCCCTGCACGAAAAGGATCTGGAGGCAGAGGAAGCTTTTGCTGGCCCAGGCCCAGGGGCTGCTCCGTGCCCGTGTTCAGTTTGCAGGGGTTTGCTCAGTGATCCCAGACCCCGAGGGGCACCAGCAGGGAAAGCTGAGCTTCATTTCCAGTAAGAAACACCAGATCAGAACACAAGCACGAATTGTTTCTATTTCCCACTCAGCTTTGGCCTTCCTGCTGCAGGAATGTGTTCACCCAACAGCTGTGGAAAAGTGACAGTCCCCAACAGGCCTGTGACCTCTCTACCTGCAGGGAAACTCGGAGCACCTGGTCAGGCCCTGCCCCTGCTGGGAGCACACAGCAGCTCCGTGCTGTGTCTGTGACCCCTGAAATTCCCGAGGTTGGAAAAGCCCTCGCAGCCCTTGGAGTCCCAGCTGTGCCCGATGCCCACCTTGTCCCCAGCCCAGAGCCCTGAGTGCCACGTCCAGCCCTTCCTTGGGCACCTCCAGGGATGGGCACTGCAAAGCTCCCTGGGCAGCCCCTGCCAAGGCCTGAGCTCTTTCTGTTGCTCAGGTGCTGCAGCCATTTCATTGCTCCCCTTGGGGCTGTGGTTTGTACAAAGGGCTCCCTGGAAGGCCGGGCTGGGTGTGGGAGCTCTGCTGAGCAGCTCTGGGGAGTCAATCCCGCTGCAGCCACAACTCTGGGGCCCTCTGACCTCCTTTCCTCCCTTTGGAGTTCAAAGGTGACCCCACTTCAGGAGGTGCCACCCACCAAGGTGCAGCTACCGAGGGTGGCAGGGGGCTGTGAAGTCTGGGAAGGGGTTTTGCCAAGCATTCCACCCATCCATGGGATCCCTGAAGGTTTGGGCTGGAAGGGACTTTAAAGCTCATCTGGTCCCTCCCCTCTTCCTTGGGGGATTCTCATTCCAACCTGATTAGGAGTTCCTGCTCCAAGCAGGAGCAGAATTCCATGCTTGGAGCAGGAGCGTGTGTGTGGGGAACACTGACCTGCCAGGGGCAAACCGATAAAACCACGTTTTATTTAAAAAACACCTTCTACAATAAAAAAAGATGTCCATAGCCTTTCCCCTCCTTTCTTTCACAGCCCTTGGAAGTGCTGATGTGCAGCAGTTGCGAGGGATGTGCGACACGCTCGTGTCCCTCCTGCCCTGCCCCAAGCTCAGCACCTGCAGCCCTGGGAAGGAGCATTGTGCTCCAGGGTCCGGTGTTCCTTAGGCCTTCCAGGTGTAGCAGTAATCCTTCATTTCCAGCAAGTGGAGGGACGATTTTCCCAGGGTTGGACACTGACTCAGCTGCTCCAAAGTCTTGGGATGCAGGCCGCAGGCAGGGAGGTCCTGGGGCACATCTTCCTGTGAAGGGCACACACAGGGAATGAGTGTTTCTGTGGGAAGCTCCCGTTTCCCCTCTGCCCCGGGGCCGCAGCTGCTGATCCCGGCTATTCAGGTGCCAAGCCCTGAGAATGATGAGGTTGGAAGAGACCTTCAGGATCATCGAGTCCAACCCAGCCCTGACAGCTGAACGAGACCACGGCACCGAGAAGGGCAGGGCCCGGTTGTGGGGAGCGTTCTCACCTGGGGTGGGGCCGGGCAGGTGTTGAAGGCGGCGCTGGGCTCGTGGGGGCTGAGCAGGGCACGGAAGGAGCCGCGCTGTGCCGGGCCCAGCAGCAGCGTCAGGGCGTGCAGGGTGTGAGGCAGGACGGGCCCCAGAAGCTCCAGGCTGAACACATCCTCAAAGCCCCCCTGCACCCGGGCACGGCCGCTGACAGTCCGAGCCTGAGGGCACAACACCGCGGTTAGCACCGCAGCCAGGACGAGTTCTCAGCAGCTCTGACACTGCCAGAGCCCACGGAAAACAGAAACACTGCTCAGTGTTGTCTACTCCACGTGAGGTTGTACTGTCCCTGTAACAACTCCTAAAATGTACCCCCTGGACTGCAGGAATGCTGTAGGGATTGGGAAGTGCAGAAGAACAGGATAAACTTCTCTGGTGGAACAAGGAGCTCATCCTGTTCTTACTGGGAAGAAATTTGGGTTAGATATAGGGTAAGAATTCTTGGCTGTAGGGTGGGGAAGCCCTGGCACAGCTGTGGCTGCCCCTGGATGTATCCAATGCCAGCTTGGATGAGGCTTGGAACAACCCAGGACAGTGAAAGCTGTCCCTGCCCATGGCAGGGGGTGGGACTGGGGTGATCCTGAAGGTCTCTCCCAGTCTGAACCATTCCTGGCAGGAACAGCTGGTGAGCTGTGGCTCAGGGGCTCTGAGAGCCTACAAGATCTGGGGAGAATCTTAACAACCATTTTCCCTCTGGGCAGTTCTGCTCAGCCTCTTGTCTCTCGGGATGTGAGGAAAGGGAACCCTGGGATGTCAGGTCAGTGCAGGGATGTGCTGTAAGGATTTAGGAACAGACCCTGCCTGCAGACAAAATGCTGACTCAGGCTTTAGCCACAGCAATCCCGCTGTGGTGCCTGAGGGAAACGCCAGCAAATCAGGGTCTGATCCCTGGGGAAGGAAACAGCTTCCTTCCCCTTCCTAGAGGCAGCTGTGTGTCCCTCACCTTGAGCGTCTGCAGGGTCCCGCCCCGGAAAGCCACCGGGGCCAGCAGCGTCGGGGGCAGCCCCGCCTGCGGGCCCGCCACGGCCACCAGGCTGCGGCAGCTGATCAGGAAGTTCAGCAGTGTGAAGGTGTTGCTGCCTCTCACCAGCACCAGCGACTCCGGTCTGTGATCCACCTGCACCTCGTGCTTCTCCTTGCGCCTGGGGAGCCCAGTCAAGGGAAAACCACGGCACACTGGGAAGCATCCATGTGCCAAAAAGCTGGAGCAGTGAACCCCCCCACACCCCATCTGACCAAAATCCCCAAAACCAATCCCCACCAAGCTTTGCACTCATCCAGATCTGTTCTTCAAATATTAAGCAGCATCTAAATCCTGGCTTCAAATCCTAGAAATACTTGCAAAGTAAATGAAAAAAAAAATAGAAAAATGCAGTATCTCAGAACATGCAGGAATGAGAAAATTCGTATTTGGAAAACGGTTCTCAAAAACTTCTCCAGAACATGTGTACCACAGCATTGTAACAGCTGCAGGGTTTCCTGGTGTCACACATCTGGAAGATCAAAGGAAGGATACAGTTGGATAGAAATAGTATCTGGTTTCTTCACCTTGTCTTGGACTCCCATCTCCTCAAGCCAAGAGAAACTTCCGTCATCATCATCATCGCTGGGAGCAGGTTCCCTGGAGACACAGATCAGTGTTAGGAGGGCAGTGCCTCTGAGGAAGGTTTTCCAAATGGACTGTGCAGGAGCCTGGAGCGCCCTTGAATTCCAGCACTGCACAGCATCGGAACTTACCCCGCATCCTCCACAGCGCTGCCCTCTCCGAGGCCCGAGGCTGTTTCTGTTTCCAAACTCTCCGGGTTTTTCTGTTTCCTGGTTCTACTTTCCTCGAGCAAAGGTAAGGAGAACTCTATGCCTGGTGGGGAGGAAAGGGAGCAGTGAAGGGCTCTGTCGCAGCCGTAGCCGTGTCGGTGCTGCAGCCCCAGCTGTGCTTACCCTCGCTCCTCATGGCCTCGCGGAGGCCGCGCGTGGTGGGGGCGATGGCGGCGGTGGGGACGGCGCTGCCCGCCAGCCCCGCAGCGCGGAACAGCACTGAGAACTGCGCTGCACACACGTAGAAATAGGGACAGAGCCGGGCCCGCAGCAGGTTGTACAGAGAGGTGAAGCTCACGGACCTGGCAGTGGGAATAAACAGCACTGTCAGGGCAGGCAGTTCTCCCCTACTGATGCGCTGGGGAGGGAACTGGGCCAAGGGCTGCAGGGCCAGGAGCCAGGGAATGGCTGCCAGTGGCAGAGGGCAGGGCTGGATCTTGGGATCTTGGGCAGGAATTGTTCCCTGGCAGGGTGGGCAGGGGCTGGGATGGAATTGCCAGAGCAGCTGGGGCTGCCCCTGGATCCCTGGCAGTGCCCAAGGCCAGGCTGGACATTGGGAGCAGCTGGGACAGCGGGAGGTGTCCCTGCCATGGCAGGGGTTGGAAAGCGATGATCCTTAAGGTCCCTTCCAACCCAAACCATCCCATGATTCTGTAATGAATTAAAATCTCTTTGTCTCACTGTTACCCAACCCATCAGCAATCCGGCTGCACTTACCAGTCACTCATGAGCACTTGCTGCAAGGCCTCGTCCTGTGCCCAAGGACAGGCCTTCCCAGCCATCCTCCTGTCTGCCCCGAGGCGGGGGAACAGCGGCAGCCAGGGCAGCGAGGGGTGCAGCCAGTACACGAGGCTCTGCTGGAAGGCACAGCGCAGCTCCGTGCACAGCCGCGGCTCCTGCGGACCCAACAGGGTTTGAGGGGGACAGCAAAGCTGCCAGAAACAAAACTGCAGCTCCAGCCACCCTCACCCAGCCCTCACCTGCACGCTCCGGGGCAAGGTGGTTTCTGTAGCTCTGCAGTGCTGAGCAAATCCCTGCGCTTCCTCCTGTGCTTTCAGGTGTTCTGCCCAGGTGAAGGGTTGGGAGGACACGAAGAGAACCCGTGTTTTAATACTCCAGTCTGCAGGGAATTCCTGTCTTGGCGAGGAGGGAGCTTTGGGTACAGCAAGAGGTGAATGAAGGTCCTGACCAAACAGAAACATTGGTTAACTCACGGAAAATGAAACCTGTTCACAGGCTAAACCAAAGGCATGGTTTATTATTTTGATTATTTTACTCAGTAGCAGATTCTAATAGAAATACTCCATTCATTGCCTATAAAACCACGTGAGTCCTTGCATGCATGAGTCCTTCCAATAATATAAACTAGGAACAAATAAAAGGATAAATGTTTGAAACAAAAAAGGCCTGAGCCTGATGTTTATGAAGACAAGAATTTCCATGCCAAAATGGTTATTTCATTTCCTCTCCTGGTGACTATAAGGTCACATGCCAAAAAAAGCCCTGGGCACCTCCTAGACAGTTTGTTGTTCTTTTTCTATCCTTCTAATTTAGTTTGAACTTCAGTTTTCGTACCTAGTACAACATTAAAAATTGTCTATTAAAATTCTTTCAATTTGAAAGGATGGTTTTCAGGAATTCTTGCTTTCTTACGTGCCAGATGAAGTGCTCCATTTCTGCAGCTGAAAACTACAAAAAGCTGTTCTGGAGAAGAACATCCTCATCTCAACTACATATAAAACTAAGAAACAGTAAAATTATAGTCATCATGTTAATAAAACTGAAAGACAACAACCTCTGTCCGTGGAACTACAACAGCAGTGAGCTCAGGCAGAAGGCTGGGTTTAAAAACTGTCACCAGAACAGGAAACATCAATGTAAGAAATTTCCTTGAATACTGACATTTTAGTACATTCCTTTATATAGAGATGGGCCACCGAATATCAAGTGAAACAGTTTCAGCTTTGTGTGTGTCCTGAGAAAAGCTGAAATCTTTTCAGCAGCGTGTCCTGTTTCATACCTGGCTTAGGGTGAGGATGCCAGAACTTTCAGCAGGCTCCACTCTCCTGGGGGGCTTCTCTTCACAGGTCGGCTCTAAAAACTGAATGAAAGAGCAGCATAAGGCACAGCACAAAGGATGCACCGGGCTGATCATTTTAAAAACCGCCCGTGCAGTGACATTTCCCGAGTGATCCTCGGCACCCCGGGCTGCAGACAAACCCGGCTCGGGGCGAGCCCAGGACCCGCACCCAGCGTTGAGCAACAGCTCCAGCCCAGCAGGGCCTGCCAGGAGGCGGGGGCGAGCCCCGGGCTGCATCCAAAAGGGGCTTCGGGCGATAACCGAGAGCTGAGAGCTCAGGGCAAAGGCTGAGGGCTGAGGACCCCGCTGCCGGGGCTCGATCTCACCTGCCAGAAGGGCGCTGCCGATGGATCCCCGCCCGCCGGGGCCGCTGCCGGGGGCTGAGGGGCGGCCGCCCGCTGCGGAGCGTTGTCCAGGCTGGAGAAGGGGTTGCGGCGGCGGGCGGCTCCACAGGGGCCCCGCGGGGCCGGAGCAGCAGCGGCTTCCGCAGCGGCGGCGGGATCGACCCTCCGCCCAGGGCGTTTGCGCTTCAGCCGCAGCAGCGCCGGCGGCTTCTTGAAGCCGGGCGAGTGTCCGGGCTCGGCGGGGGCGGACATGGCTGAACGGGGCCCGGAGCAGCCGCGGTCCCGTCTTGGCGCCAAAGGCCGCCCGCTCCGCCCCAGGGCGGTGCTGAGGGAGCGGCGCCGCCATTGCTGCCGCCCTCAGGGGCTCTGAGGGGAGCGCGGCTCCCGCCGGCCCCGCTCCGCCCGCACGGCAAAACAAAAGCACGGAGCACAAAGACACACAAAGGCGCTCCAAGTGTGTCCGTGCCCTTCCAAATGCATTCGGACAGCGGCCCCAAGGGCTGCGCTCGGCTGCGCCAGTATCGGCACACGGCCCCGTTGGGTGACATGGGACACGAAACCCACAGGCTTTAGTCTAGTTGGGATAAACGAGTTTTTTCGTTTTCCTGGGACAGAAAACCACTATTGATTGCACTGTTCTCTTCTACACTGGTCTTAAAAGGCATAACAATGCTAGAACGGTATAATTAGAGATACATGTGGCTCAAAAGTCATAAAGAGCAACATCTCTACTCACAAAAGGCTCATTAAAACTGCTATAAAATACTTACACAGTTTTGTCTTTTTGTTCTTTTTTTTCTATCATGTTGTTCTTCTCATTTTGAACTTTTAAATTTGTTTATGGTGGTCCGCCATATTTTGGAAACCTTGAAGCCAAACGGAGCAGCATCAATTAAAAATCAACAGCTGGGTCCAAGGCTTCAGGATCGCTGTGGAACTCCCGCAGGACTCGCACGCTTCAGACGAGCACAAGAGCACCTCTGGTTCCCGAGGCTGCACGGCAGCACGCCAGGAGTAAAATCAGAGTTACTCCTGATTTCATCGCCTTGCCGTGCATCATTTATCCAGAACCTCCTCCAAGTGCGCTGAGGGAGAGGAGACAGATCAAGTGTGGTTCTGGATAATCTGTTTTCTCTCCAACTTTCCCACTGACACAGCTTTGCAGTGCCCATGTCCATGATTTGAGTGATCCACAGTGAAAATGAGCAACATGGCTGAAGGAGAAAAGGTATTTTTGCTCTGCAGTCAGAGTATGCTTTGAGGAAAGCAAAACGCAGTTCCTTCCCCTCTGCTGACTTTCCTACAGACCACAATCATGGATAATGCTGGACAGACAGATCTGGGCTGTGGTGAGGTTAAAAGAGGGGAAGTGATATTGCACAGCACTGGGAGACATCAAAGGTAACAAGCTACACTAAGTGCCTCAAAGATCTGACTCACGCAGTTCCACCAGCTTGGGGACTCTGGATTTACCAGGTTTACTGCCTTAGTGCTGAAATGAAGGGAAAGAGCTGGGGGCAACTCCTGCTGTCAGTACCACGTCCTTCCCATCTGGCACCCTCGCCAACCTTGATAGTTTTCCCTGTCCTTCAATTGAGTAATAATTTTAAATGTGAATTAAGATCTTTAAGTGCAGCACTCGGTCTCAGTGCTGTCAAAAGAAAAATGTAACTATTAAGGTGACTGCTGGTCGGGGTTGGAGACAAAAAGACGAATAAAAACATCTTTGTTTCCCTCTTTAATTTCTTAGGAATGAAAACCAACAGCGACTGCATTTGCCTGTAGATCTTTCTGACATTTTTAAGTGCGGCAGGGCAGACAAGATTTTTATGTCAAGGCTGCTTCCTTAGAAGCTGCTGATGGGAACATTCTGCTCAAGGGAATTAAAAAACCCTGAAGTCATGGAGCTTCAGAGACCATTTGTACTGAGGTACAAAGAATGTTTAAATTCTGTTTGCTTCCTGCAAGTATACGCTGATTTACTCCACAAATACAGTTCTTTATCTTCTCCAGGCTGAGAAATCAGAAGTTGTGTGTCAGAACTGGATGACTTGTCTCTTTCTTGCTTGATTTTTCTGAACTATTTCCATAGAAACTTTGGCTTCGTACAATGGGATTGGTTCATCCAGCTGAGGCCTAAAATGAAACAGTAAAAAGTGCTGGTGAGCACACCCAGACCAACAGAAATATCACAGGACAGACTTTACTTTCACTGTGTCAACCTCCCTCCTCCCACAAAATAAGTTTTATGGCTTTGCTTCAGTGCACAGAAGAAGGGAAAAGCCCCAAAGCAAACAGGAGCTACAAGTGAATGAAAAGAGATCCTTCCTGCAAGGGAAAAAGGGGGGTGATGGGGAGGGTTCTGCTCATCAGCAGTTGTTATCCTGCTTTAAGGGAAGGGATCTTCCATGCCCACCTCATTATGGGAGTCTACTTCTTTCCTGAAGCTCTGCTCAGGAGTGTTAGTGCTGGCAAGAGTTTTCTACTTCTAATGCTGAATTTAAAAAGCCACAGAAAACTTCACGTCTCTCACCTGAAAATGTTATTTGATAATTTCTCCATGATATCTTCCAGGATGGGTATCCAAGAGGACTGTTAAGGAACAACAGAGCTGGACAGAAATCCCTTTACAATCACATTTGCTGGTCACAGCCCTGTACTGATAAAAACTCAGCAAGATCAAGCCAAAATGAAAATGAACCCAAATTCCTTCCTTTAGATCAGATTTTTGTACTTGTTTCTATATCAGAAACCTCCTTTTCTGACATAGGATGCAGAAATGAAATATGGAATATTTCAATTTTTTCAATATGAAAATACTCAGTATTTCAATATGAAATACAAGTGTAGCCTGCATTAGTATAACATCAATCAATCATCAATCATTGGCATTTTTTGTGCAGAACAAAGAGAACAGATTTTGGGACCAGGTAGCTGTTGTGACTGTTCATATAGGCACCTGATAAAAAACCAAAATGAAGGTGGGAACACAGCAGAGGCTGGAAATTCTTGGAGCACCCTGCCATGTGAGGGGTCTGTGAGTTAATGACCACCAGCCAACACGTGGGGCTGTATTCAATCTTTGTATGACACTCAAACAATAAGGCTCATCCTTCATTTTAAGGGCAATCAGACTGATATTTGAAGCTCAAGTTCTTTTAAAAAAGGATCAATTTATGATTCAGATGCTCCAGAATTTCACAAGATACACAAGTCCCTAAAGCCAAAAGCACCCAAACCTTCCAGGGCTGAAAATGTCCTACCCATGGAGCTCAGTCCAGCTGCATCAACCCAAATGTAGGGGACATTCCTTTCCTTTTTCCCAATCCACATTGTCCCTCCATAAATTTTAGGTACAAAACAAATCAATACATTTTATGTACCTAATAGTTCTGTACATTGCAAATAAAGGAAAAGTTAGGAAGCCAAAACGCTTCCACTTCTGCAGTGAATATGAGGGCATTAAGTTTACAAGTGATGCATCTAATGTCCAAAAGCACAAGTACAAAAAAAAAAAAAAATCAAAAATGTCACTTGCATAAAATAAAAACATATAGATCTTAATTTAATTATAGATCTTAATTTAATTATTTGGTTCAATAATGAACCAAACTACTGCATTTTTTCCCCCCAGAATGGGTGTTTTGCAGCACTACTTTTAATGAAGCTTGTAGAGACATTTTCAAGGCCAGGCTGGACATTAGGGCTTGGAGCAGCCTGGGACAGTGAAAGGTGTCCCTGCCACAGCAGGGGTGGCTCTGGTTGGGCTTTAACTTCCCACCAAAGCAGTCTGGGATTCCACAATGTCTTTAAAAGGAATGCAGAAAATACCTTAAAACCTGAGTGTCTCTTATACTTTAGCTCCACCTTTCAGCTGGGTTGCAGCACTGAGCAGAGGAGAACTCCCAGAGGGATTTCCCAGTTGCATTTTCACTCCTTTGAGCAGTGAGAATTCCACAGAACCACCAAAGGATATCGAGATATTTCCCCTGCTGCACATTGGACAAGTTCCAGATCTCATCATTCAGGAAGGACACCGTGGCTCCCTTAAGGAACAAGGAATGGCTGTCTGGAGGATCCAGCTGAAGCAAATTGAAAAAAAATGTAATTTAGCTACATTTCCCCATACATAAATGAAGGTTAAATGGTTATTTTATAGAGATGGTTAAACCAAACGAAAAAACACCCCTTGCTCACTCTTAAAAGAGGAAACTTGTAACACTGACAGGTTGAAAAAATAGTTTTATGTGTCTGTACCTCTATTTTCTGTGGGACAAATTACTCCCTGCCACAGGCATCTTTACCTGCAGGTTCTTCTCTGTCGTTATCCAGCGTCCCCCAGCCCCAAGGAGAGTGATGATGTCGTGCTTGTGAGGCAGCAGCTGGGATTTGGAAGCTGGCTCATCTTCAGCACTGTACAACCTCACTGGGGAGGGAGAAGAAATTCCTCTGAGCTCAGAAGAAAATGTGGAAAATTCAATATGTATTTATTTCCACACATTTTGGTGGAACTCTAAGTTCTTTGGTTGTTTCAGCTAAAAGTCGTTGAAAACTCTGAATTTATAATTTTATTTATACCCTGAGTATTTTATATGTGTTATTCAGAATAATAGAGTAATATTTTGTTTATATTTCTAATACTATATAATAAATAGTAATATATAATAATAAAGGCTAGTAATATAGCCTGTATTATATAGTATATAACATAATAGTACATAATATAAATTATATAATATGTAAAATGTATATAATATATAATATGCAAAATGTATATAATATATAATATGTAAAATGTATCTAATATATAAAATGTATAAAATACATATAATATATAGTATATATAACATAATGTATACATATATTATATGTACAATATACATATTGTATACAATACCATATATAACTATAACACCCATATATAACAACTATAAACTATATTATAGTATATGTATTAGTATAATACGTATAATTAATATAATATATAATAGATATTACACATATATAAGATAATAGATTTTATATATGCTAAGTATAATAATTATATATAATATATTTTTTATTACATATAATATATATAGCAATATATTTTATTATATATTATATATAGTATATACACATAATATATCATATAAAATATATATAGTAAAATAATATATAATTTAATTCTAGAAGAATATATAAACCATATATTATTATATTTATATATACATTTTATAAATATAAACCATATATAATTATAATTTAATATA